ACATGTGCATTGTACAGTGATATCGTGCTTCGTTCTCGTCGTGTGAAAGTTATCGTCCTTTGTTCGATAAGAACAAGGAATAGTAGCACCCTCATACGGTGTGATAGAGTTGTGTTGCTTGTCGTGCCTTAATTCTATCTTTCTCGAAGGAAACCACTTGGCGGCCCTTGAGAAAGGTCGAAACCGGTCGTGGTACCTTCTTTTGATTCCTTCAGAAATGAATTCTGTCTGAGTCTCTAGTAACTGCACAGCGGTTGTAAAATTAACTAAACATAAGTCAGTATTAACTTCATACTTTTATTTGTAATATAAGAGGAATTAGCATCACTCGAAACGTTAATTAGTATTAATGTACGCTCTTCCAGTACCAGTCACTGAAATTACTCATTAGACATTAATTACTAAAATTACCAAGCTTCTATGCTGATTACGAAATACACTGTGCTTGTATACTACTACTTTTCAACCCCAACTTAAAGTAAAACTTACCAAAGTCCTCCAACGTAAATCCTTCCATAGCAGCCATGACGAAAAACACAGAATAATAACAATTAACTCCAATAGTTGAATTCAATATGAACGAGAATAAAAAGCACGTAGCAAATAGTCGTATTTATACCCGTTTATGTAACCGTCAGTCTCTTTCACTTTCTTTGTGAAGATACAGTTTATGTTACTGTGCACGTGTTATGGCGTTACATAGACGGCCGACCGTCATCGAGGGTATGTATGATAACAGTAGCATAAACTGCCCAGGTCAAACAATCCTACCATAGGATTCTTACAAGATCTTACAAGCTCGTACGTAGGATCCTACCAAATCCACATAGGATCTTGTAGGAAAGACGTAAGACTTCTTTGTCTTGGATTTATCCTATACTTTCCTGTCGTAGGATTCAATCAGATCCTACGCAAGGTCTTATAGGATCTTACGTAGGATTTCATAGGAATTCTGGTATATTTGAAACCAAAATATTCAGTCTTAAATCAGCTGTTTATTTACTGCTAGCTTTATTTATTTACTTTTTCTCTTTTGGGTTCTTTCCCAGTCTCTGAATCAGGACTGGGATCAACCCAAGAACAATGAGCGAGCTTCCATGTTGATGTTTACACAGTTCAATGCGAAAAATTGAGCTTATTCAACTAGATTTTTAATTGTTTTCGGCGTCGTATTTATAACTGTTTCTCTGACAAACAAAACGGTGAATATGTTTATCTCAAATGGGTCACTTTACTTTTTTGAGAAAAAATTTTAAATTTTAAAGGATGTTCGAGCGGGAATCGAACCTGCGGCACAAAAAAAACATATTTTCTTCTCCTTAGCTCACTGAACCATGAATCTGTATTCATCGTCTGTTCTTCTACCAACTATAGATGACAGAAAAAAGGAACTTTAATCTACTCTTCGCCATCTTTAACCATTTTTACGCTTGACAGTCTTCTGTAGGTCAGAATAGACAATTCTGTTGCGCAAATATCACGTGCAATTGAAGTACTGAATCAGCAAAGGAGTTATTTATTTTCACCACACACAACTGATTAATTAATCAATTACTTGAAGTAGAAATAAATCCTAGTGATAACACACCTGAAACTTGAAAAATCAAGATTCTACACTTTCAGTTTTGAGAATGGCTTCTGTTTTCTGCTTAAACATATGTTATGACCAAGCTTAGAATTTGGCCAGCTCAAACTAATTTTGGCCGGCCATAGTTAAGATCGAAATGTCTGCATCATAGTGTGCATCCAGGTGGGCATTAGGTGAAAAATTGAAAGTGGACTTTTCGGTAAGTTTAATGGTGATTTATATATTTCGCGACATGCTCTGTTTAATGGTAAAAAGCTTATCAGTGCAGACTTTGAGTCTAAAGTTTAACTCCTCCATTCTAACGTGAAGGACTAAGGTGGGGCTGTATGAAACACATGCCTCGAGTGTGTACGTTTACATTAATTTGCTTTAATTGGATTAAGATGTGTGTTTATTTTTATTCGACAAGAAGTTTTTTTAAACGAAATAGACGATCCAACTATGCATTATGCATTTCATACCCAACAATGTTATAAGATACATAATTGAACGCTAGAGCTTCTGCAATCTGGAAAAATCTATAGCCAAAACTTGCGCTAGAACCGATAACATTTTCAGAAAAGTCGATTTTGAGAAATACCTATCATAGCTATACATTAAACAAACACTTACTCAGAATCTAGACGCCGTCTGCTATCGGATTCTAAAAAGATATTTGGTTTAGGAATTTAGCTGTCAGAAGAAAAAAGGAGAAACATTTTTCTAGCGAGTTTTCCGAGAAGACGTGTTCAGTAAAATTAGTGCCGCACTCACATTCAATTTCCGAATGCGTTCAAACTTTCAGAAAATGTTCATCTACTTATGATACATCTATAGAGTTAGCATAACGATACATAAATTCTTCTAAATTGAGTTATAGATTTTCCAAAAACCTTGGTGTTTTAGAGGTTTTCCGTATTTATTTTCGCTTCTAAACATGTTGAGACAAAATCAGCAAGGTATTTGGAATTAACGCGAAAAACTGCATCGAATGATGTGCAATTAGTAGGTTTTTCTCAGCAAAAACTTGTTGGATGTACCGAAACACTAAAATTGAAGCATAGGGTCACAATTTTGGCTAAAGATTTTGATATTTGCTATAGAAGCAATCCGAAAGACTATAAACACTTTTTTATAGGTTTTCAGATATGCTCTTTCCAATGGTGCACTTTATAAAATTCAAGAATACTTATGTGTGGATTTTATAGAGACCCGGTCTCTGGAGAACCAGGCTGAAAGTCTCTTTGAACTTTCTAAAACACACCATTGGAAAGAGCATATTTGAAAACCTATAAAAAAAAGTGTTTATAGTCTTTCGGACTGCTTCTATAGCAAATGCCCGCCTGGTCTATGAAAAAATACACTCTATGTGCATGTGGAAAATTCGAGTCTTGATCCGCAAAAAGCAGAATTCCAGTTTGAGCCGGTCAAATTCAGAATCTGGCCAAACTCTAACTTTGGTCGCTGCATATACATTGGTAACATACACACTGTAAAATAATTTAGTTGTTTTTCACAGTTAAGTATCTGCGAGTTCGAATAGAAATCAGTTCAGAAAATGAATAATATGTTTAGTTTTATTGCAGAAACTATAGCAAAAAACTTCAGCACATGAAGTTTTTTGCAACTAAAATATCTTGTATGTCAACACTTACGTATTATTAGACAAATCAAATATTTGCTCTCATTTTTGAAATTCGAATTCGATTTTGATTTACTCCGAAATCGGAGGACCACCTGCCTGTTTCTTGTACTTTGCGGCGTCCCTGGTTTAAACCGTGCTAATCTGACGGTTTAAATGTCAAAACCTGAGATTTTTTTAAGCCTGATGTTTTATCCGTTCTAGTCCGACGCTTTAACCATTCTAACCACTTTTTCCAACATGACGTTTTAACCGTTTGGTTACAAAAACGTCAGGTTGGTTGGAACCTTTCGAACTTCTGTATGATTTTGTATTGGGGAATGAAATAGTGGGCAGGGTTTGAGTTTGAAAAGGCACACTTTGCTAAAGAATGGCTCAAGGAAGGTTCTCGGTTTTTTGAAGAAACCCGTTGCTTTGAAATAAATACATTTTACATTTCACAGCGATGCCATCTTTCCCATAATAATGTGTTTATCTCAAAAACAATAAATTTCTTGAAAAAACTGAGAACGATGAACTTTCTAATTGCAATCTCTATTTAATCTAAAATATTAAATACCTGTCCAATTATTGATGTTTTTTCTGTAATATTTTTATTTTTTTCTTGTTCTATTGTTTTTTCACAATAGTAAGCTTATTGTAATAAAAATACATAAGTTTGTACTCTGATTTGTTTATCAATCAGAACTTACAAAAATATGTGTACAAGCCTCCAAAATCATGTCCGAACTCGTTATAAAAGAACAAGCGGTTTTCTCACATTTTACCTTGTGATTTTCCTCCGGTTATTCTTTGACATGTGTACTCTAAGGATCGGCGATTCGACAGATTGCTATTCTTTCTAAGATGCTGCGAACTAATCCGAGAGTTACAAAATGCGCAAGACGATCATCCCTACTTGACGATTAAGGTGGTAGATTCCTCTGTTTTCTTTGAACATTTCGAAAAAAGCTAATTTAATATTTAGTTTGTGATTAACAAGATTCCTTGGGGCAATATGCAACACATTACTTCTACTGCTAAGTTTCTATGCATTTTAATTGAAAAATCAAATTTTAGCTCCTATCTTTACTTCTGTGAAGTTAATGATAAAACATTAAACAAAAGAAAGAATAATTCATTTTAAAACATTCGTTTAGAGAAACTCGATGCTTATACCGTCAAGCCGGACAGTTTAACTATCGGGATTTTTTTGTTTATTTAATCGCAAGTGACTCACCCGATCTGATGGAAAAAGCGTCAAAAATTGTCATTTCGGCCTCAGGTTGGAACGCATAAAACATCAGGTTGGATTTGTATTTTAAAAGGATGATTAATAACCTGACGTTAAATTATCTGACGGTTAAATCGTCAGATTGGAACGGTTAAAGCGTGCGGTTTGTTTATAGTACACAATTACTATTTATGTTTCGCTCTTTCCGAACGGTTAGTTTTCAGAAAAATACAATTCTATATTATTTGCATAATCATGATCGACTATCACAGATGAATAAGAGAATAAGGCTTTATCTGCTGAAAATTTCTTCCCATTCCTAATCTTAAACGTCATTTTATTTATTACTTTTCAAAAACCTAGTAAAAATAGAAAAACTCCAAAACAAACCAAGAATAAAAGAACGGTTGTCTAAAAATACAAGTTGCTTGTCTAACATGTTAGACTGTTATAACAGTAACAAAAAAAGAATAACAACCTTAACAAAATAAATGGGAAAATTTTAGATTGACAAAAAATATGGATGTAAACAACAATAAATATGAGAATGAAGGAAACAACAACACTAGTTTGTCGCTCTACTTCAATTTACTCCTATGTGAAAAGGATGATATAAATTGATCATTTCGTTTTGTGGGTAATTCTGGATAATCCTGTTGAAACTCGGGATGATATTTTGTATGTTCCGTATAATCTTGTGGAAGTAAGAGCTGTTGGCATAGATGACATTGAACGTGGGTACTGTCTACTACTTTATTCCAACAATTATTTGTCTGTTTGGGATGAACTTCGTTGAGCCATATTTTATAGATTTCATTTTGTTTTTCAATATTTGGTATTAACAATAGCAAATTGAGTATATAATCATCCGATTTATCTTTAAATAGATCTAACGTCTTTTTAATGAAGTACTGTACATCAATTTCACCCGTAATAAAAGCATCACAAAATTTTTCATAATTAGACAATAAATTCATATCACCATCAAATAATTCATATAATTTAGCACGAAATAAATCTTTTGACTGTTGGTACGTTGAAGGATAAAGATATGTGGGCACTGTTGGTAAAATTGAATTACCTTCAAATCCTGGAGGCGGAAGGGGTAAAATTTGAGCACTGTTCGATGATGTTACAGACGAAGAAGTATTAAAACCAGGCGGAGGAGGAGGACCACTGACAGATACTGGTTCAACGGCACGTTCAATCTACAATTGTAAAATGATAACTGGCCTTGGCAAAAAGATTGTCTCTCAACGTTTTAATTTAGATTCTGATGAATAGCCAAAAAACATTGAAGAATAAGTCTCGTAGCATACCCTAATAAATCCAAAAAATGGTTAACTTACTGTTTTTGTGTTATTTGTTTTTTTCTCTAAAATATGGTTCTCTTCATTTATGCCATTCTTTGTAACTAGATTCGGTTTCGGATCATTTTTTTTTGCATCCGAGACAGTCGATACATTTTTCGTTGACGTATTTTTCTGTTTGTTTTCTTCCGATGTCATTTGTTGTTTAGTTTTTACTATCGGTGTTGATACAGTGGTGTCATTATTTTCATCTTCATTCAAAAGTCGTTGACCGAGCTCAGATAAACCCATAGATGAGAAGTTCGTAATTGGAACAGTTATTTGTGGATCAATGTCTTGTTTCGTTGCAGATTTTTTTTTTGTTGGTTGCTTCTTTTTCTTTGAGGCTGTGGTTGGTTTTGACATTGATGTTTCGTCTGATTCCTGATTATTCCAAACACTATTATACTGCACTAAATATGTAAACAAAAAAGAACTTCAAAATAGAAAAGATTCAATAAAAAAAAGTCTTATCATGCATCATTACTTGTCACAGGAAAGATGCTTGCTGCATTTTTTTCCTATTATACGCTTACAAAGCTAAATGTATGATCCTTGCTACGACCATTCAAACATTTAACGATATCTAAACGTACCAGCTGTTTTATTTGCTGATTCTTGAGTTGTTGGTAAAGCTGGAAAATCATTTTCCTGTAATTGTGGAGATGGTTTCTTTTTCTGTTGAGTTTGCTGAATTGCATCGACGTTTTTCTGAGATATCGTTGTAATTGTAGGTGTAGCCACTACTCTTCTAGGCACTTGAAATTCTTCATCATTACTATCTTCTTCATCATTCCCAAGACCAAATTTAGCTTTTGACTGTTGATTTTTCTTCTTAGCATCCTGCTTTTTTTCAGCTAAGTGAAGAGAAAGAAAACATAACTGCCAGAATTTCTAAAAGTTCAGTCCGACAGATTGTATTTTAACCGAAAAAGTTACTTTTTGGCAATGAATATCATAAGCCTTTGAATCCACGCAAAAACTTAAATAACGTGAGTCTGATTAATGAAGAGAAGTCATAAGGAGTGGAAATGAATATACAACAATGTAGCCAATAACAAGTTCTCGAGATACTTACTTCACGGACCCATATAAAAGTATTCAAGCTAAAGCTAACTTCTCAACAGAACATGTTTACCTTGTAAATCTATCGCAACAACAGTGGCAGATATTTCAAGAAATGTTCTACTCGCAATAACAACAGATGAATTATGTTCAACCCCAAATGCAGCAACAGCAATTGTCACAACAGGCGTATATTCAACAAAACACAAATGACGTTCAATTTACTCCTAAGAGTGATCGCGCGAGGGCCACGACAGGTGATGCTCAATCGTAGTATCACGAAAAGTGTGGAAAGGAATACGCGAAGAAACACTGTATTAAGACAAAGTGTTAAACACTTTGCTTGAAATACTCGTACTTCTTTTTAACCACTGCAGTTTTATATATGACTGTTGGGTATTCTCTAAACATTTATCAACTGTTACTTTCATAGAGAGTTTACTCGTCCGGATGAATTCGAGATATTTAAACGCCATTACAAATTCGATTTTGTTCCCTTCAATCGAGACTTCTCTATCTCCTGTTCTCTTACTTGAGTGTAAAATAGTTGAGCTACAGTTTTTGAGTAAAATTTATTGGCTGTTTCTATTTTTTGAGTATTCAGCAAGGCTAGCACATAGTTTATTGCCAAACTCCTCCAGATGAGTCAACATTCTGTCGAGATGTTTCAAAATCGGTGATAAAATAACTACTGCGAGGTCATCCGCAAAAAAGTGGAAGGAAGAAGCGTCTACCTCTTTAGTTAAATCACCGTGGAAATCATCTAGGTAAAAACTACTTTATAACCACTCGGCATAGCCTATTGCCAATAGTTTGAGCATAAAATTAGAAATTTCATCTACACCCACTGAGTTTTTTGATTTTAAATTTTTTACTTCTAAGACTCCTGTTCGTATAATTAAGCCCTCATTTTTATCCATTTCACTTATACTACTCCATACACTACTTATCATGTTTATCTTGTAAATGTATCGCAACAACGGTGGCAGATATTTCAAAAATGTTCTACTCGCAATAACAACAGATGAATTATGTTCAATCCCAAATGCAGCAACAGCAATTGTCACAACAGGCGTATATTCAACAAAACACAAATGACGTTCAATTTACTCCTAAGAGTGATCGCGCGAGGGCCACGACAGGTGATGCTCAATCGTAGTATCACGA